ACTGTTATTTATTTATTCTTTAGTTAATCAAAAAGGTTCACCTACAACTAGTAAAAATGAATCGATAAATAATGACTGTGATGATACCTATCAAAAAGGCGCGTATTCTGAATTAATCAAAAAATATTCTTTGAATATAAACGCCTGTTGTGAGGTGAATATTATATAAGAAAAACGATAAACCAAGATATTAACGCAATAGTGATTTGGATAGCCGTTGAAGTTCGCTACCAAATGCAATAAGCGTCAAAATTCTAGAAAAAAGATTTCGAAGAAAGTTTTCTAGAAACCTCCTCCAGCGGAGCTCTAAGTCCTAGAGAATTTTGCTTAAAATGTTTTCAATATAGCCATCTAAAAGAGCATAACATTCTGAATAATATGAAGCGTCACACAGCTCTCCACGATCTTTTGTTGCAAAGTTATCGGCATCAGAAAATCCAGAGAAATGCGCTTCTGCTTGCTTTTTAGGCTATTTTGAGCGTTTTCTTCTTCTTAAGTGTGAACGACAAAATGAGACCACCTCCAGCATTCCATAACCTTTTTCCAAAAAGCTATACATTTTTTAAGTATTCTTTTGAAGGACTGAAAGAACTCAAGGTTTTAGTTTCATAAATCTTTCTTCCCTTTCGGATACATTAAAATTTTTTTATTATCCATAGCCTGGTAGACCAAATGTTCACTTCACAATCAGACATCTTCCAAAATTTTCGTGTCGTTTTTCGGGGAGATATAAGCACCGCCGCAAATGCTCCGACAACGGTACACTGTATAATGTTATTTATGGTACTCAAAGGACACTTCCCTAGTAACATTTCTGCTTCATTTCGTGGTAAGAATACAGCCTCATCTTGCCGCGATTTTGACAAGAAATTTGAAACTTAACGCGAGATCGCTACCGTGACCGCACCTAATCTTGCTATTTTTCCCATATAACAAAAATTTCACAATCTTGACGCGAAAATATTTTTGACGGGATCGCGCTGAAATCCTGCTAAGACTGCGGCAAGATTGAAACGGGATCCGAACAAGATCAGGCAAAGAAAAAATCTTCTCAAGAACTTGTTGCGAATTACACACGAACTTGCCAGAATCCTGTCGTGATCCCGTCACACTCTTGAAACACAAATCGAACGGAATCGCATAACGAACTTGATCAGGAACCCGATTAAAATTATAAGATCGCGATTTTATTTCGGCAAGATCAGCATTTTTTCGTTACACGGGAAAAAATCGCGTTCGCGGTCAGATCTCAGCAAGAATGGAACGGGAATACCACTAGGGTTAAGTAAGAGCGGTTTCAATCTAGTTACATTACGATCCGTCGAAAAAATGGATAGGTGTTATAGAACGGACTGTTTCAGGAGTAAAACGCTTTTGATGTTGAAAACGCAATTTGAAACTATCAAAATCAAATTATCAAACTAAGCGAAAGTTCTGTGCATAGCAGATTAATTGGAATTAAGGGTAACCCCTCTCCCTGCTTTTTTTGACCCTCTTGAAAAACGTGTCAATCAATGTCTGTCGGCTTCAAAATTTTACCAGATATCGGTCAATCAGAAAAGAAAATCGATGTGTTTATGCTCAGAATTTTGTATCATGTTCTTCTACGGGTTTTCTAGAAACTCTAGTTCCCATTCAGTCACATTACAACCTTTCGAAAAATAGCCCGATTGAGCTTAATTTTTTCCCATGCATAGCACAGACCTCATCTCAAGTTCGAGATTTTTTTCGAAAAATACTGAAAATCCTATGTAAATAGTCAGTTTTCTATTTTAAAAATCTTCTTCCGTCGAAAGTTGAAATCGAAAACGCTCAAAAAACTTTTTGAACCTGAAAGTCTAAAGTATCTATGGTAAAAGTTTAAGCTTGATCGGACTTTTTTTCCTAGAGAATCGTAGATTAAGGAACGAAGGTTAAGTGCTAAAGGAGTTATCACAATAGTAGTAGACCAAGGTCATTTATTCCATTCGAATGAATAAAGTTTTAAACGGGATACTGTGTCACAGTGAATCAGAGATCTTTAAATGCGTATTTTGAGGTTTCTTAACAGGATTATTATAATTAGTTTTTAAGTTTATTTAAGATCTATTATTGCCTCTTCTCTTCTATTCTCTTACATCCGTGCCCATTTATAATAACAAAGTCTATTTCTTATTCGAAATAATAAATTGATAGCGGTTGATGTTGAGGTCTTACATTTCGGGAGGTTCTTCTAATGTGTCAAACCCTTTATCTATGGAAATTAGAGAAATGGATTTTTTTTCTCTTAGAAAAAATTAATGTAAATTAGAAACAGTAAACCGATCTGTTTCGTTAATGATTGCCAGAATCTCTTGCTTGACTATTTCTTTTGTATGGTATTGAAATTTCAGTGGATTTTAAAAAATAATTATTTAGCTAACTCGTATCATGACATCCACAATGGACTTTTTTATTTTACAAAATAAGACAAACTTTTGATAAAATGTATCATAACCAAAAAAAGTGTATGGTGCTTTTCATTTCTTTTCCCTAATTTCTGTGCGTTTATTTATGCAATATAAAAAAACATTCGATTCATCTAATAATACAAAAAGAAAATAAGCTCTTTTTTTCTTGTGATTATAAATAAATGACAACTAAACTATTTGATCTGTAAAAAAAGAATTATTATAAAAGTGTCGACAAACTTGTATCACCGTCATGCGATTCTCATGTTCAACTTGTTCTACTTTATCTAAAACTATTTAATACATTTAACATATTATTGACTGTACATGTATGCGCACACACTTATACGTAAGCTAATTGTTTTTAATTATACTTATCTAGGTGTCTAATGCTTTTATTGTAACGCTTTTTAAATAAACGACTCTCAAAATTTGGCTATTTAATTCACTCTAGCTGAGAAGGAGCTCTTTTTTTGACAAATTGTTTTTTCTGTATTAAAAACATGTAATGAGATATGTAATCGATGCTTCAGATGTCGAATAATATAACGGGAGGATGCTTTTATGTCTTTGAAGACTAGTTTCTGAAACAAACCACATCTCCTAAGGCTAAACCTTTTCTGTCAAAAGTAATTTCTGAATTGGTCATGTTGCACAGTAAATCAAGTTACCTATACCTCTAAATTTTCTAGCTATCAATCATGCACTGAAAACGTTATAAACAATTTAATTTGAATGCCAGCTAAATAATGAATTCCGAAGGAAAATGGAATAAGCAGGACAAATAAATATGAGAATAATTTGTTTGAGATACAACCGTAGTGAACAAGAACTGACCTTTAATAACTTATGGATAAACTGTTAACTACATAACGAAAAAATTGACTTTTAATTGGCTAAAAACTGTTACAAAACAGTTCGTTAACAGTCACCGTTTTTTTTCCGTTATTTCACTATGAATCGGCTCTAAAAACATGCATTTAACTGTATGTACTTAAAACTGGAATTCACAACGTCGCCAACTGTCTTAACATTTAAGAACAGTTAAAATAGCAGAAAAAAAACTAGCATTTAACGTTAAGTGTTAAATGTCAGTTTTTAACCATTTACCAACAAACCATGTACATTCCCTAGCATCGAATCTTATATACAGAACAGTCAGGAAGCTTACACGAAACGTGCATGTAACAGGTAAGAATCAATCTAACAGAAACCTTATAAGAATCTTATTTGGGTCTTATATAAGATTCCGCAAGATAGTCCCAAGAATTCCATAAGATAAGTATAAGAGTCGTATACGATTTACATAAGATATTGATAAGGAATCCATAAGATCTGGCGAAAACTCGTGACTTTCTCTTATTAGATCCTTATGGATATCTGATATGATCCTGATAAGATTCTGGTAATATTCCGATAAGATTCATATAAGAATTTATAGAATTGTTATATAAGATGTTTGCAAGTCAAGGACTCTCATATGCAGTCGAAATAGATTTGGCTGGAGTTTTTTTGCAGACGAGTTGAAAAAAAATGTTTTTTTGCAAGTTACTTATAAGCATAAGGATATGACTAATTCGAAAATATCTTTGCTCAGGTCTTTTCCGTTACCGAGATAAGAGACATTATTTCCTAAAAATTGACTGTTATTTATTGCTCCGAAAGAGAGATTTTTTGGTGAAATTGATTACTTAGGCAGCTGTAACTTTGTACTTAAATTCTCTGGCAGTTGTAACTTTATAGAAACGTCTTCCATGGGTGGGGAGAGCGCGCAAATTTTCCAAATTTTGAACTTTTCCCATTTTTTTTTCTACTTTCTTACAATAATATACTGTTTCATGCGTAAAGAAAATTATTTTCTTCCTATAAAACACCCTAGTCCCAAAGGGAAGTCTAAAGACGCGCCCTTATGGTTCACTGCTTGTAAACCGCGACCGAGAATGTACCGTTGAAAAATATTTTAATGAGTTGTTACTAGCAGCTAATTATATAATTTTTTTAAACTAAATCTTATAAGAATCTTATCAGGATCATATCAGATATCCATTAGGATCTAATAAGAGAAAGTCACGACTTTTCGCCAGGTCTTATGGATTCCTTATCAATAGCTTTTGTAAGATTGCACAAGTCATCGAAACTTAGCGCGCGGGAGTAGTATTTAGCTCTGGGACTGATACCAGTGATGGTCCTAAGGAATCGAAAATATTGAAATTTGTCCATTTTTTGATCGTAATAAACCGCCACTTTCAGGCGTTCCCAGTTTAAAAGTTTAAAAATGCATAAATGCAAAAAATTGTCGCAACAGTCTAAATGAGTTCATTTAACAAACATTGGATAAATTATTAATGGGTGTTTAACAGACAATTAATTACACCGTTTTCGACGTCCTAGGAAATCATCTTTTGTGACTTTCAAGATTATTTTTCTTTATTTTCACGATTTAAATGAACTTTTTCTAACTGTCTTTTCTACTGATATTCTGACTTTTTTCTTAACTCTCATTCTTAAGTTGCTTTCAAGTTAAACTTTTTACAACGTTTGCTTTTGACAGAAAAGGTTTAGCCTTAGGAGATGTGGTTTGTTTCAGAAACCAGTCTTCAAAGACATAAAAGCATCCCCCCGTTATGCAATTCGACATCCGTGAAGTGCACAGAAGAAGTTTCTTAATTTTAAAAGTAATATAAGAAAAAGCTACATAACAACGTTATTCATCAATGAAATATTCTCTTTACATTAGTTACCAATTACGATGAACCACAGCGTTTTACCACGACAAAATCTCGTCAATCTGTACCACAACAACAATTGATTTCATCGTCATTAAAACGTCGACCCGCCACAAGCCCTAAAGAAACTTTTTACGAAAATGAGAGCGTACCATCACCATCCGATTATGATCTAACTTTATCAACATCAATATCAACTACAAGAACAAGTCATGTTTCAAGTAATTCATCCCAACCACAAACAGCACTTGTATCAACTAAGTCTACAAATGAAATTGAGATAAAAATAAGATTTGTTTTCTTGCGTGTGGGAGAAATCGACACTTTGAAGTATGTTCTTGTTATTCTATTCGCATTTAACATGAAAAAAATACCTTGTTTTCACTATTTACTAGTGAGCGTTATAATGCTGAAATATTTTTTGAAGCCTGTTGGATTGATGAATGTTTAAAAAATCAAACGTTGTATGATCCCAGTACTCACTGGAATCCTGATTTAACCGTAATTAATGGACTTGGTGATAATAAACACGATGTAGGCAACATAAGAAAAAGCTTTTATCAAGATCATTGATATTTTCATTATCTCTAATGTAGGTTTGGTATACGATGACGACTTCGGACGGTAATACTTTTCCACAAGTGACAGAACATCATAAAATTACAGGTGTCTTTTGGGAAAAAATGGAGGTAAATTATTTGTTTATTTAATGTCAGATTTTTATTGACTTAAAGTAGTTGATACTTCGCTATTATCAGTGTATTTTATTCAATTTTCCCGTAGATTAGTTTTCATAGTATTTTGGACTTATATTTTAGTTATATCATTTTCCTGCTGATGTCCAAGAATTATCCATCTCAATAACAACAACAAAAACTCTCAATGATATTAAATTTGTTCGAAATGAATCTAAACCATCGGGTGTGAATCGAGCTGTGTTCACAGATCAACAAGAATGGTACCTCTATGAACACGTAGAAATGGAGATCACCGAACAAGCTGAAGAATTTTCAGAGGCAGCGCAAACACATCCGGTAATTGTCGTGTCCTGCCATGCTGGAAGGTAACCTTTGATTACGCTGTTATTACCTACTAATAAAAGCTATACTTTTTCAGAAAAAGTGGCTATTTTTTTTGGAATGCATACTTTCTAATATTCTTAATAACTTCGGCTTCACTGTGCACTTTTGCCATTCCATTGGCAAACATTCATGGACGGCTTCAAATTGCTTGTACATTGCTTCTCACATCAGTAACATTCAGATGGGTTGTTAATAAATCATTGGTGAGTGATGTCTATTGAAATTTTTTTCTATATAATTATTTTCTATATTCATTTAGCCGATTATCTCATATCTAACAGCATTAGACATCTATGCAATCGGTTCGATTGTCGCATTGTGTGTAATTAATATTTATCATGGTGTTATTGGTTATCTTTATTATGTTCAATTATATCCAACAACTTCTTCTACAACAACAATCGTAAACAATTCTACAGAACTCATTTTAATCGATCGTTACGCTTTTGGAATTTGTACAGGCTCATTTTTTTTTCATCAATGTATCATACTTATTTATACGTTGTCGCCATCTTATCGGAGACGACGACAAATTGAAAAAAGAGATAAAGAAAATCATCCTTAATAAACAGCAAAATTTAAAAATGTTGTACGAACGTTGATTAGTTCGAAAAAGGTTGTTGCATATAAAGTGTATAAAGCAGTTTTTGACAGATGATTATATTGATACTCTATACATTATCATTTCGGCATGACTAATTTGACAAGCCTTAAAACCTTTTTCTGTCTGTCGTTTCCTCACACAGACTGCTTGCACAATTTTATTTGCATCTTACTTAGGATCAAGTAGTGTACATTATTCGTCAATCTGTTTTGTCTTTTAAATTGTTTCTTTTTGTTTTAATCAATGAAACGTACTTCATATAACACTTTTGTAAATTGATAACGTTATAAAGGTGCAGAAAGCTTTAAGTAATAGCATCAAATAATCAGAAATAAACTGAAATTTAAAGTTTAAATCTTTTCAATGAAAATTTCCTAGTTTTGTTTGAGACTTCCACGCAAATTTACTAATCTGCACTTGTTAATCAATAGAAATAGTCATTTGTAAGGTTTGGACTCAACTGAGATACAATCTTGTCCAAACAATATGACAGGAGCGTCTCTTTGTGTTTCTTTTCGAATAAAATCCATTTGTTTTTGAAATATGTTTTATCATTGTCTCACACTTATATAATTATTGAATAATAGACCTTAGTGCCCTGCACTCGTGCACAATAGCACGTTTCAACGCACGTGTCAAAATTGTACTCCAGTTGAGAAACTCTTGAAGCATCCATCTGTTTTACGAAATGTATCTCAGTTGAGAAACGAATATCTTCTCAGAAATATTGGTTTCTCAACTGAAATACTTGTTTAAAATATGGATCCAAAACATTAAAAGATGGGTCAAATTCCTTCACTTAACTTCCACACTATATTTATCTTACTCAGTTCTGGATGCTCTTTCGAACGGCTTAATCAGAATTTTTCCCACACATTCATTCCTTATTCAGCAGTCACACTGAAGAGTATGGCACTTTTGGCTTAAAGTCGCGTTTTCAGCCTAAAGAAAAAGTTTTTCAAAATTATTTTTTTACCAAAATGTAGTTCGCGCTCTGTACTATCGACTGATATAGTTTTCACATTCAATTTTTAAATTTAATCCGTACTTATTCAGCGTAAAAAGAGACTTTTATCAACTGTACGCAAAATTTTTGCCGACCTGAAAAGTTCGCCTTTCAGCTTAATGAGCCTACAAAGAGTAACGATGAATATTTCAAAAATACACTTTTGATGTTATTCAAATACCATATGCCCCTGGAATTGTTGGTCTTTCGCTAATAGCGAGAATCACTCTTCCCTCTCTCGCTAATGCTTCAAGTCTTTCTAGATAAGAGATGAAGCCAATATTTTTATGAAAAAAGTTAGGTATCGGTTTTGGAAAATATTGTCCGTTGCTGAGAAAATAAATTTTTTTGAAATAGGTAGCAAAAAACAAGGAAATTCACTTGTATTTTGCAGTTTTCACCGTCAAACTTCAATTGTTCTGCAAAAACTAACGTCATAATTGGAATCAGCATCAAAAACCGAATTGATTGATGTGCGTTTCTGGATTCTTGGACAAATTTGGTTTTTCGCAAAAATAGTGGTTAAAAAGTTCGGGCTCTATCGAACCATATATAAATATCGCAATAAAAGAGCTTTGCTCGACCTTTGAATTAGCGGCACCTTATAACACGCCAAAACATGCAATGATGTTTTTTCATTTAGATATGGTTCTTACTTCATCTCAAAGAATATATGCTTCATCTAAAACAAAAGGTACTAAGCGTACACTAACAACTGATCATTTATTATTTAACGATATTCAAAGTAATCGAACGGTTGTGGCACCATTATCAAAATGTGAAGTTAATGAAAAAGAAGGAACAGTTGTGTATTATCAATGTGACAATAAAGTTTTAAAGAGTACTATTATTACTATAGGTGATTATACATATTGTATATATCCAAAAATGAACATATACTCTCGTTATTGTAAAATATCTGCCTTCTGAATTTTAAGATCAAAAGTATTTTGCAATACAAAGCAGTTAGAACAAGAAGGTCATTCCACAGATTTTCTATGCGATGACAATGAAGATGATAACAATGATGAGGATGATGGTGGTAGTGATAACAGTGGTGATGATGATAACACTAATATGAACCAACATACAACAAATCGTCAAAATATGGGTAAGGCTCATAGTGAATTTTTTCTTTTAGTGAACTTCTAAAGTTGAAACAACGTCTCGAGGCAATAGCTATAGTATTATAACTATAATATTAAGTCAAAGAGTTTTGATAAAGGGCAGTCATCCGCCTTAGATTTTTAAACTTTCTGGTCAAGTTTATAAGTTCATTTTCTACCACAGAGATTTTAAAACGCTGCAATTAAAACAGATACTGTTTATATTTATTCAAGGGAACTGGCTGTTAAAATAGTCAGACATAAATATACATATGTTTAAACAATCTCGATGGAAAGTTACTTTTTTTCTTTCCATTGTTTTTTATCCGCAGGCACTAAATTTTTGTTCTGCGTGCTCTTTCGAACTCCAATAGGCGTTTTGCATAAAAAAACAAAATCATGATTGATGAATGGACTTTGACGAAACCTGTTGTTTAAGGGTTTGGGACTATACTCTTTCTAATGTACGATTCAAAAACACTTTAAAGTAGCTTTAAGCATGGTTTTTGAAGATCTAGTTTTGGAGAAATTTCTCTTGTACATTTATATTTATTGATAAAAATTTTTAAAGATCCTTCTGTCGTTAAAATTACCTGGGCTATATTTTGAAAAAGAAAATTCTTGAGTAATTTAGTTTTCTAATTGCAACTTAAACTTTTAAAAATTAAAATTTCAATTTCATATTTTAAATATCTTTCGCTTTACGAAAAAGAGCAGTATTCCTAAATCATTCGAAATAGCATAAAAATAATCTAAATCATTCGTAGGATTTGTCAAATTTTGAGAATAATTTTACAAAATTCCGAGAGATTTTCTAGACCAAAATTCAAATGAAAAGTATATTTTATCACAAAACATTATCATATTCTTTTCTAAACTCTTCGTAGAGCTTTTCCAAATAACTGTGTAGAATATTTATTGGTTTTTTACAGAATTTTGATAGATTGTACGTTCGATTTTTTACATTAGTGATTTTTCATTTTGTTACTTTAGTACAACGTAATCGTAAAAAAGAACGAAGAAATATTTTGAGTAATCAACATCAAACGAAAAAACATTCTAGTACTCGACAATTATTGTTTTCCAAAAGTAATTTAAAACGTAATTTCTGCAGTGCAAATACAAGCGTGTTTTTACTCTCGTTAGGTACCAATTTCGAAAACAGTAAAGATGGTTTCAGCAATAGAACAACAGACAATCTACCACCAATTGATGCTTCTATATCAAATCCAATGATACAAAAACAACAATGTAAACAGTTATCTTCACTAGGTGAGCGTAAATATATAATAGAAATAAAAACAGTACTTGTATATTGTTAAACTGAAAAGTACTTCTTATGTTTTAGAAAATAATATTAGTAATCGTGATAATTCTATACAATCAACATTATCAGATAGTGGTTCAGTGATTCGATTAAATGGTATATTTGATTAGAGTCAAATAATTTGCCTTTGGTATGCATATTATTCATTTTTTGTTTCAGATGTTGCTGCATCTGATTTAATTGAAAAACAAGCACTTTCACAATTACAAAATGCTATAAATGAAGCAGATTGTATATTAAGTGAGAGACAAGGTAATAGCTTTGAGGTTTTTTTTGTTCTGGCGCAATTGCCTGATATAAATTTTTTAAAATACTACCAAAAAAAAGAGAACAAAAAAATCATGCAGAGCCCCAATATATCTTACTATTATTACATGCGAATTTCTTTAAGATATTTATCGGTTATTTAGATACCAATTCATCAACGCCAAAAACTCACAAAACGACGTCGATCTGAAAATTCTGATGTTAATCAAAGCACAATACAATCATTAACTAAAAGAAGTTCAAATACTCCACATAGTCAGTTGAGATTTCAAGGTAAAAAGCTTTTCAGATTTATTTTACAAAAGAACAAAAAACAAGCCATTAAGTCAGCAACGAATGGAAGATGATTTGAAACCTAATGTTTGTTTTTTGTTTTTTCAACGTGTTCTAGAATTAACAGCAAATACAGGTATCAATGATCTGATAGAACTAATTATACCATTATCAAATGTACCAAAACAAATTACAAATATGTCAACCACACTAAACCATATAGCAAATGCATTAAAAGACTTAAGAAAAGTAAATATCTAGTGGCTGTCTATAGTTAAGCTGAAAATGTGCTATAGTTTTTTGTAATGTCACATTCAATCGTTGGTTAACTCCTTATTCACCTTCAACGATTAATAGAACTTTCTTTTAATAAAAATCTAAAAGTTTACAAGTTATAATCGAAAAAGGTCAACATAGAACTTTGATTAAAGCATGACAGTTCTCTTCGTTTGTCACAATGGTGGCACGAAAAAGTTGCGTTTTCTGGCAAGTTTGAGAAAAATAAAAGAAATAATACAAAATTCGCTATTTTTCATTTCGGACTTATGTATAATCAGTTACCTCCACACTTTGTAGACACACGAAGGAAATAGCATTTTTTTATTGTTCCTTCATATAGAGTACTTCGGGGTAATTAGAGACACTGTTTGGAATTTTCGTCCTTTTTTTGCTATTTCTTGGCCGTTTTTGATCGAAAAAAAGTTGCTATTGAACATGAGCATGTAGAAAAATGTTCGGTCTATCACCATGTTCAATAGCAACTTTTTTTTCGAT